AAGAAAACTTGGTTTTTTTTTTAAATTTCAATTTAATTATTAATTGACATCACCATTTTTAACTAAAAAAATTTGTTTTATAAAAGCATCTCCTGGAGTCTTTCTTGAAAAAAGTTATTCTCAACTGGAGGCATCAGGTTATTCAGGTGTGTTTCACCATCATTTTTAGGCGTAAGTACTATGTCACCAACTATTAAAGTGTACAGAATTTCAAGGCTCACTTTAAAGAAAAGTGTTGTTTGAATGCCATCTCTGTAACATCACTCTCTCTCACCTCCCTCTTCAACGTGAAAGGGTGAGCTAGTTCATCTGGAGATGATGTATCTGTGCTATGTGCCTATTACTAATATTTCAGTCATGGTAGGAATGATTTTTAATTTATTCCTTAGCAGAAACCAGACAAAGAAAAGGAAAAGGAATTGTGAAACCTGGGGTGGCGCCTGATTGTGAACCCCACTTGGGCATGCCATCTGCCCCATAGACCGTGGCAGAAAGCAATGGATAGAAAAATTGACTTTTCCTTATTAAGTCCTTTTGACACATACTTTAATTTAAATGAAAAAATATAGTTTCCCATAGCTTTTCAGGATTCTAAGGACTGTACCAAGCAAGGCAAGCCAATGTGATACCTATGAAATTATTTACAGTTTTGAGTATTATCTAGGGGAGGGGGACTGACTCTGAGCAGATTCCAAAACCCTGCCAGTTCCCCATGAAGACTGTTGCATCAAATAAGCTGCTCTAATTTAGCCAGAAAGCTATACAGAGCTCTTCTCTAAGTAGGAAATATAAATACACGTTGCATTCACACACATTTCAAATCTTCTGTTTGGTTGATAACAGCTTGTGTTGAGGACACAAAAGTGAAAGCCATCAACCACCAACCCCAGCAGATCAAAGGTCAATGTTTAACAAACATTTAACAAATCACAGAGTTGGGAATCTTTGTGGATGTGTGAAATGGATGAAAGACTCCTATCACCTCTAACTTCTGGTCAGGCATTCTTTGCATTCACTTTTTTAAAAGTCCATTTCCATAACAGGCTAGAGTTGAAGGAAACCTTCCTGCTTATGGCACTTCCAAGGTGAAAATGAAAAATTCTGATAAAGCTCATAGCCTTGAGGAAAATTTCAAGTGGCTTATTCCCTTAGTTTTCTCTTATTTCACTTACTCATTATCAGACAGAATTGAAGGACAGATTCTGCCTTTTGCTCTATAGGCTAAATTCTATTCTCTGCGGAGACCATAGCTGGTGACTTGAGTATTTCACTACTCATTTCTCTGTGTAGCCCTCAGTTTAATGGACTCAAGATCTGCAAAGCGCATTCCATGGAAGAGATCTGTACATAGGCTGATGGGATGTGTGGGTGTGCACAAATTATGCAAAGAGAAAAGTTACTCTTCTGCATGCAATGAACCAAATTATCCCCACTCCTTTGCAGAAGAGGTTTTTTTTTTTTTTCTTTTTTCTTTTCCCAGCTTGAATAATGTTTAGCTGAGATTTTAGGTTCTTCTTAGTTTTTAGTAGGCTCCAACAGGTGTGGGAAAGAGCTACATGCCTGTGGCCAGGGCATCACTTATGACATCTCTGCCCCCCTAATATACATTTATCTTATTGCTATGGGTGCCTTGTCCCTGGCCTTGATTTCAGAGTAGGGCTTATAAAGCGAGAAACGTTAAGACCAAAATAATGTCATTTAGTGTCTAGGGGGAGGTTACAAAGAGGATTAGAAGTAGGCAGGCAGGCAGGGTATATTAAATGAGTCCATGACTAACAGGGTGTGACAGAAAAGGGTTTTACTCTTTTCAACAAAACAATTCCCTAGGACTGGAACCATTACTCCACTGTGCCTTTATCACCTTGGAATTTTTATGGTTATTTTTGATGAATTCACATTTTTGTAAAGGCTTTTTTGAAATGATGCCAGATTTCAATTTTTAATTAAAGTCGTAAATAATCTTAATTCTGCCTTAAAAGGTTTATTGTTTCTTTCTTTCTTTTTTTTTTTATTGCTGCCAGGAAATATTTCAAATACCAAGCCCTGATGTGAGTGAGCAATTAGAATCTCTCTAAGGTCTAGTAACAACACTGTCCCTGTACATATTACACACCGGCGTATCAGCACAAGATTTGGAAATGAGAATTGACTGATTTCAGGTTTCTTAGCAATAGCGTCTCCTGGGAATGACATTTCCTTTTTTTGATGAATAGAGGAATTTTCACCATTTAATTTTTACAAATTAACCCAGCACAGATCCATAAAGGATTTTTCAAATCATCAGAGAAAAAGGCAGGTTAAAATTCAGAAAGCAAACACCATAAACTTATCACTAAGGGCTGGGAAATGAAAGTCAACCCAATCCAGTTCAACTGTTGGCAAGAAACAGAGTGAGCATCACAAGCTAACTCATTTGAGAGACGGTATCTCAATTTAAATAAGATAAAATTAAGAGAACTCCGTAATAGTTGACATGAGATTATAATGCTGCTGCTTGAAAGTATATTCTTGATACTTATTAATAGGTTGCCTATTGAAGGATCTGCAGATTGTCAGTAAAATTATATGGTGTAGTCTTCAGATCTATTTTTTTTTTTAATAGTACTTAAAGAATCTTTCACACCATGAAAACTACTCACCCCTTGTACACGTATAAAGGCTGAAATACACCATGTTTGAACAATAAAAAACACTGAGAATTCCTGCAGATATCGCCTGTTACAGCTCCATACCTGTCAACCTAAGGTACCTTCTTAACTTGAACATCACATCATTGCTTATTTGTCCAGAGAGGGGACTTAACACTCCTTCATGTCCATGGCAAGTGTTATTCTCCACAAAAGTACTATCCAATATTATTGATAGATTTGCTATTCCAGGAAATCCTCACACAACTTGGAGGTGGAGAATGGTCTGACTTTCCAGGGAGAAAAACCTTTCAACTAGGAGGTTTTTGTTGTTGTTGTTTTTGACAAATATAATTTATTACTTTAATAATAAGGAATTTCTAATTTATACTCAAATGTATAAGATATACATAGATCATGACAAAAAGCTTTAGATGGTGTTCCTGCTAAAAGTAGTTGAGAGTAGGCAACAATGGTGTGTTATTTTGAGAGGATGAAACACCCGCCTTCCAACTTTATTTATATTATTAATTACCTTGGCAGTTTCTTTCCTTTTCTGAAATACAAGAACATATCCATACTAAATAACCACAGATACCAGCTTACTGGGATTCCACGTAAAGAGGTTTAACTATATTTCTAGCAAAAAATAAATGATTTTAACAACTGATTTATAAGAGCAGGTTTATATGCTATTTAAGAATATCTTTGAAATCCTTCTGACTGAGCATGTTTCCAACTCACAGGGAAGAGATCAAATTCTTTCCATATACGTGCCTTGGCTGGCATTATGCTGACATCTCTCATGGAGAAGAAAACTCAAGTAACAAAAGGACTATAGAATATTTCTCAATAAAAAAAGTGTTAAATTGGTATAAACCATGAAAGAATGCAAGATTCTAACTAGAAGCCACAGTGATCTCAAAACCCTTTCCATGGGGCTCAATCAGTTGAAATAAGCTGAGTTTCAAACTTCCCTTAAATTTGTTAACAGATCAGACATCCAAATGAAACACACAACAAAATAAGGGCAGCTCAACATGTCCTCTGTCCTGGATGGAAGATACTCTTTAGTCCAAAAATTTAAAAACTCAGTTATTAGAAAATACCTTAGAAGGTAGTGAGCACCCCATCTCTAGAAGTGTGGTCAACCACTTGCTTGAGATCTTATGCAATTAAGAGAGCAAGTCAGGTAGGGTGGCTGGTGGATATTTAACATTTCTTCCAAATCTAGGATACTATGATTTTTATGACCTTTGAAATTACATTAATTCCTCATTGATGTCAAAGGGATTTTAGTTCAATTCCATTTGCAAATTTTCATGCACAATACCTATCAAGAAACCTGGTTTTCCTGTAAGATTAAAGTAAAGAATGCTGGCCAAGTATGGTGGCTCGTGGCTGTCATCCTAGCATTTTGGAAGGTTGAAGTGGGAGGATCACTTGAGGCCAGCCTCAGCAAGACTGAAACATTGTCTTTACAAAAAATATAAAAGGTAGCTAGCTATGGTGGCTGATGGCACATTCCTGTAGTCCTAGCCTCTTGGGAGGCCAAGACAGGAGGAACGCTTAAGCCCAGGTGTTTGAGGTTGCAATGATCTTTGATGACACTACTGCATTCTAGCCTGGTCAACAGAGCAAGAAAGAAGAAGGGGAAAGGGCAGAGGGAGGGGAGGGGAGAGGGGAGGATGGGTGGAGGGAGAGTAATTGGTGGGACCACACCTACAGTGCATCTTACAAGGGTACATGTGAAATTTACTAGGTATAGAATATAAACATCTTAACACAATAACTAAGAAAATGCCGTGAAGGCTATGTTGACCAGTTTGATGAAAGCATTTCAAATCGTATGTAAAACCAGCACATTGTACCCCATGATTGTATTTATGTACATACCTGTGATTTAATAAAAAAGGGGAAAAAAAGGCAAAGAATACTCTGTACTTACCCTAGAGATTTCCCTATCTTCTTCCTTAGAGCTAAAATGATTTCAGTGAATTGATATTTACAAAAAAAAAAATCCCTCATCTCCAGAAAGGGTTTTTTGTGTTGTTGTTTTTCCCAATTCAATTTGTTCAGTTATTTAGATGTAATTTCCATGAAAGTCTTGTTGTTACTTTCCAGCTTAGGTGACTTTTAATAATTTTCTCTGATCCCTATTACACAATCCTTCCCCAGAAATTACCTGGCTGTACCGGTAACGCAAACCGTAGCCTTGCTATTACTTCATGGGAGACTTCCCTCTTCAAACAGTTGAAAGCATGTTACACCTTGAGAAGTATAAGAATTTCCAATGCCTTGCAGCAGCTCTAAGTACTGCAAGAATAACTTAAATGTACTTTTTCTGGATGGAAAATTCTCTTTTAAAGTTACCTTTTTCCTCGCCTGTTGATCTTTGGAAGAATGTGCCTTCACGTGCTTTCTTAGTGAACTTGGGTCTGTGTAGCGTTTGGTACATCCTGGAATTTGACAAGCATAAGGTTTCTAAAGAAGAAAGAAAAAAAAAGAAACGTCTGAAGTTAAATCAAACAGGTAACTGGGGAAGGTTATACTCAAAGACTTCAGAGCACAAACTGTTATCAACCAACTGCCACCTAATGCTGGGTAATATCTGTGCATTTTAATTAGGAAGTCTAACAATTTCACTCCGGTAAAGAGAAAACTTTCAAAAAACACAGAGAAGTCCTGTCTGTGATGATTTTTGAAGAGACTGCTTGAGAGTACACTCTCCTGCGAAATCTCTTGTGGCATTTTTTTTTTTTAACGTGGAAAGTATTAGTAAGCATCTCTAGTCATACTTACCATTATGTTTCCCTGAGAATAATCTTTGGTACTGTCAGAAACTAGTAAACACATATTCTTTAAGGGTTCAGGTAAAGAAGCTGTAGAAAAGTCCAGAAAAGACTGGGTATGTTTCAGAAGAAACCTGATTCAGAAAGAGAAAAGGAGAGAATTAAGAAGAGAAAATTAGCGTAAAGTGAGTAAGAGACAGTAGGTTTCAAACAACAGACACCAGAAAAATCAGCCAGAGAAGCATTAGTATTATTAGTTGCAGAGGAATCCTCGTGCTTAGCCTGAGTTATGTGAATAAGGTCTTGGGTCCGTACAATGAGAACACAAAGTTTGGTTATTCCAGTTCCCTCATGCTCCTGAGAGATGCGAGGTATAGAGCCTAAAGCTCAGTCTAGAAGCTTTCTTTGGTATTCCTGATGCTTGGTATATGATAGGAATGAATGAATGAATGAGAGCAACCTTACATCCCTTCAAATTTCAGCCTCTACTCCTACTATAATAACAAAATTCCTATGAATTTTGAGAGTTTGAGACTATGACTCTTCAGTTGTGAGATAAATCAAAATTTTCTGCTGACTTAAATAACTAAAAAAAGTTTTTAAAATCACAGTAGTAACTGTGTTTATAAGACATATTAACAGTCACTGATATATTAAGTATCTCGTTAGGTATTAGAGCTGTGCCTCTAGGATTCAAAATGTATCTCTAAAACTGGCTTCTTACTCTAGAAACCCGCTATACTACAAAAACAAAATCTTTTTTTTCTTTTTTTCTGTTTATATTTTGCTCCTATTTTTGTTTTTATGTGCCTGTTTGTCATTTTTGGGGCCAACAAATATGTGAATTACATTATTTTCTCCACTGGAAGCCATATTTTGTCATTCACACTGCTTTGTGTGTGTGTGTCATTTTTGATTCTAAACATAGAGAAAATCTTGAGAACATTGACACACTCAATTTAATTTAGCTTTTGTGTGTTTGTTGGTTTTGAGACAGGTCTCACTCTGTTGCCTGGGCTAGAGTGCAGTGGCACCATCATAGTTCACTGTACCCTCAAATTCCCGGGCTCAAGTGATCCTCCTGCCTCTGCCTCTGGAGTAGTTGGAAACACAGCCATGCCAAAACAACCAGCCAGTGGTTTCACTTTTTATTTCAGTGGGTTCTCACCATGTTGCCCAGGCTGGTCTCAGACTTCTGGGCTCAAGTGATCTTCCTGCCTAGGTCTCCCAAAGTCCGGGCATTAAAGGTGTGAGCCATCCCACTTGAATTCTATGTTTGATATCGACTGTATTCACTGACTGATTGACTCACCCAACAGCTCTGATGCTTCCAGGATGTGCTGGGATCTAACAGTGAATAGTGAATGAACCAGGCTCCTACCTTGTGGCTTTTACAAATGGGTGAGCCAATTATTGACTAAAGTTCACTTGCCAATGAATTTCCATTAGATAAACAAAGATTTTCTTTAACCTTGGAATTCTGAGTTTGTATAGCTTTCTTGCACTTGCTTTCCCTGGCTTCCTTGGATTTAGGGGAGAAACTAGCCAGTATCTTTACTGGCAGTCCTATTGTGACCACATAAGCTTATGGCTTGGGCATTAGAAGAGGGGTTGACCTCAAAGAGGCTTTATGACTATTAACATGTTACATGAATCAATGCCATTGTTACTACTATGGTCACTATGATTTGGGTTGGTAATGCCATTTTGTATTTGACTTTGAGATGTTCTGGAAAGCATCTTGGCTATCATCACCTATTCTTCCAAGCTGGCCTTTACTCTGTCCCTTGCTATCAGCCACCTGGCACCAGAATGCCCCAAAAAGCAATGTCAGGGACTGGGCTAAGCTGTACTGCTGTACTGTAAGTTTAAATGGCATGCTACATGTCATCAAATTATATATTTCACTATTTTCCACCTGTACTGTATAATTACTTCCCGTTTAGATAATAAGATGCTAATAGAGAACTGAATTAATAAAACTTTTCAGGGTTAAAATTATGAACTCAGTAATCTTTTATGGGAAAACCATTTTCACACAAGCATCTACTTAGTTGAAGAAAGATACTTTATCCAAAATTCTGACAGCATTAGCATAAGGAGTGTAGAGACCTAAATTTAAATCATAAATTCTTCAAGCAAGTACAATTTGCTTTTTAAAACAAGTGTTTAATTTCTATATGATTTTAAAAGAGCTTACCAATTTGTTAAACGTAGTAAGAATTTAAACAGGAGCTAGTTTGGCGCTTAAAAGAAAAATGACATTTTAAAAAGATTTAATAGAGAAATAATTCCTTCAAAAAACAAAAATAGCTGAGTTTTAAAAGTTGTGAGACTGAACTAATATGAGATTATCTTAGCTTCCCTAAAAAGTTTTTAGAAAGTTATTTTTTTTTAATTCTAAAATGATTTTTGAAAATGCTCTTAGTTTGATTAACCAAAATTAGCTCTAAGCAAAGAAGGGTATTGTAGAACCATAACACTTAGCCTCACAATAGTCCTTTCAAGCTACAGATAACTAGCTAGAGTAGAAGCAATTTCTCAAGACAATCTTGTCTCATGAATGTTCATTCTTCCATGATAAAGTTTAATGACAAATTGGAAAATTTATTGGATTCTACCAAGACCATTTTAGACACAACAAAATAGGGCATTTTAACATAATTTATTCTTTCTCCCTTTTCGTAATTTAAAAAGCCCCATTATTCATCAAATTTATTCATTTAATATTTTATTCTATTGGTCCTAAAGTCACTGAATTCAGCCAGAGCAGAAAGGGTCCATCTCTGCCCGTGTGGCTCTAATTACATTTCAGATATTTACTAGGCAAACCATCACATTGATGTATACTGGAAGATAATTCTGTTTAGAAAGGTTATGTGACATATAGCTAAAATGGCTTCTATCAATATGACTAATAGAGACTAATATAAAATTTAATAAATATGTCAACTATAACATCAGAAGAATCTTAAATATGTATGAGAAGGTGTGTAGAAATAACAGTATCTTTTCAAAATTCAAACTCTGGTGTGGTTTAATAATAGATTTCAGAATGTTAACACCGAAAAAGTACTGTCATGAATACATTATTTGCAGGAACGTGGGATAAGAGATCTGCGATGTGTTTAATACATTTATCCTGATGGCTTTGTTAAGTGAAGTGAAATTACATCGAGTCTACCTGGCCTCATGTAAGGAAAATGGCATCAAATCCTGAGAAATGCAAAGGAGGGCTATCAACATAATTGAGAAAATAAGAGTCGAGTCTCAGAAAAGGCATTTGGGAGTGAACAGAATGTTGCCGCATTAAGGAGCTAAGGGTGTAATAATGAAAATCAATTGTTCTCATAGGGTTGTTGTCAAAGGATGGGGGCTGCTAACGCTTAGGAAGCATGATGAAACTGAACCCTTGAGAAAGATTCGCTTTTTCTTTGCAGAGAGCTAGAAGGTGAAAACACCAGGTGTTCTCTAAAGCAAAAGGCCAGATACCCTCTCAAAAATCCATGCCTGCTGCAAAATTCTTATGTCAAGAAAAGAACCCGAGTAAAAGTAAATACAAACATATAGACAGGCAGACAAACCAAAACACACTTCTTCTTCACTTCTAGCGATAGCATGCATTATCTACTTGATATGGCAGTGCTTATTTTAATGCCCAGTCTCTAGAGGTTACTCTTCGTACTGAAATCTACTACAAGACAGCGCCTAAGCTGTTTTTGTTTTATACCCACAGGTGACCAACCCCTTTGTCCCAGGAAGTTGTAATATTTAGGATAACCTGTGATTACAGGAAAATGAAACAGTTCAACAAGGCCCCTCTGGCCCTTTACTGGGTTCTGCTCCTGCCCTTGGCATTGTCCTTCTAACCTGCAGACCATAGAGCAAACACTTTCACCCTCCCACTAGCAAGAGGGCCTGTCCGCACACCGGGTTTGGGGCTGAAAACTAGAAGCTCCTGCCATTCTTACAGTGTCCAGGTGTGTCCGCTGGTGCTTGGCACGGTCACTGGAGTTGCTGAACGCCTTCTGACAGCCCGGATGCTGGCACAGGTACGGCTTCTCGCCCGTGTGACTCCGCAAGTGGATCTTGAGGTTTTCAAGCCTCGAAAAGGCCTTCTTGCAACCTTCAAACTGCAAAAAGAAAACAAGTTTTGGTTGTCGAGAAGGATCTTGAATGCTTGAGTCTGGGGGACAGGGAAAAAAAAAAATGTCCTTAGTGTGTACTTAGCCTAAAACGATGAAATAAAATCCAAACGGGAATATTACTTCTAAAAACATCCATATGTTTATGTGAGTTGCATTTTTCCACTGAATATACATGCCACTTGCTGTACTAGATTTGGGTCCCAAACTGATTTCTGTGATTACTTATGTCAGAGAAAATTCGCTGTGAGCCATCTGGCTCAGTTAATAAAAATACAGTCATGTGTGCCTTAAAGACTTATTAAAAAATTAACACACTTTTCCGTTTCCAAATTGGTCTAAATTGAAGGAACTGAGAAGGAAGAAACTTTTTGACAACTAATAAACTAAGAACAACAAAAAAGAAATCAGCATTTTGTATGAGAAAAAAGGAGGATTGACGATCTAAGAGTCCAGGGTGAAAACGCTTATGTTCACGGGATCCATATGGTCATAAACGTCCTGAGTATATTTGTAGGTTTTTTCCCCAACTCTCAAGAGTGACTGTGTTCACGTACATGGTAAAGCTAAACCTCATGAGACAAAATTTTTAACATGCTTTGAAAGTGAAAGCTGGAAGACAATTGATTACTGCTAAGTCATTTTCCAAAGTTACTGTAATGGTTGCATCTTCTACATTTTTTTAGAAATGTTATTATCTAATTCATGGAGAGCAAAATTGAAAATGAAAGGCTGAAGATTTCAATAAATACATCATTGGTTTGTCAATAATATTTATGGACAGTAAGATTTACTTAATGTCTTCTGTGGGCAAAAGATCAGCTACAATTACAGGGTCCAAGTGATTCCAATCCTTGAAATAACAGTCAAATAAAAAAAAATGTGTTAGGAAAAAAACCCTATAAATGAGGCATAAAGGTGAGTTGGGGATTTATCTTTTAATTCTCTCTTTGGTGCTAAGCCCCAGAATATTTATGTTACTTTGACAGTTTTAAGCCCATTTGAGTTTCCCATTGGAAGGGAAACTAGGAAATACAGAAAATTTACCAGTACATAGCACAATGTGTTTAAAGCAATCAAGAAATACCACTTCTTAGAAATATGAGGGGTAGGGGTGGGAAAGGACAATATAAGTGAAGGAGGTAAGTTACAGCTGCTTTCCATTCAAAATTAACAGGTATAACTTAACTTTGCTGCAAGAAGTTTTACCAAACCCTTGTTTCCCCCTTGCTTATTATGATAGATAGTAGAAGCCATTGTTAAGGAAGGAAGGATCCAAAGCGGCCAGGTTTTGGTTAAGGGAAGTTTCATGTTTAAGTGAAAGATGAACTAAGTAGAAAGAACAATTGAACGTGTCATAACTCCATCTATTTAAGTTGTCCAGATTTTGCATGCTGGAGTATTTTAAGAAATTTATGAAAGTTGCACTTATTTTTGATTGAGAGTTATACATGTTTCACAGACATATGTTGGTTTATTTTGATTTTGATATTTTGCTTAAAATAATTTTGGTGTTTTCCTGATTTCTATTTCACATAAAAATAAATTTAGCCTGAACAGAAGATGAATGCTGACGAAGCCAACTATTTCAGCAGAGTGAAAGGCATGTCACAGGACTGTCGCTAGAGGGAGAGAGGAGCTGAGGGGCTCACTTTAGTGGGCTTTCCAATGGGTGTCACTTTTGAGTAGTAAAGGGGCTCAAAATTAGCCCCCCCCCATTCATAGCTAAGAGACCTCTGCTGACCAAACCTCTGTTTTTAAGGTTCTCTTTGAATGGGGACTCAGAGTAAACTTTTGGAGCTCAGTTTATTTTACTTGGAATCACCTGGTGGACCACACTTAGGTCTGAAATGAGCTTGTGGTTTTGGACAAGCCAAGCCTGTAGCCTAGTTCCTAGCAAGGCTCTTTTGTAGGGTGGATTCTGTTCTGGGGCCAGTGCCAGGGATGCATACCCAGACCTGGGAAGGCCTCAGTATCCACCCCTTTCCACAGTCGCCTCAGATCTTGGCCAGAGAGAAAGCTGTATTGTTTCCCTACCAGCATGGGAGTGGAAAGAGATTAATAAGGCTTCTGTGAGTACCAGATAAAGCAGGAGCCCCAGTTCCACCACAGAGTGATCAGAGGGATCCCAGATATATCCTAGACCAATTCAAATGGTCCACTTGGTGAGGCATAAGGTCTATATAGAACAGCATTTCCAAAGTCTTTCTAGTTAAATGTCCAGTTAAAACACAACTAATAGTCATTATTCCTGTTAACAGAAGCAATAATCAAAGGCCAAAGGCCTCAATGAACTCCAAGCAAATCAGTGAAAAACAAACATTTCAGAACATTCAGAGCATTAAAAAAAAGTCATTTATTCTTGCAGTGTATTTATCTGATACTTCTGTAAATCTAGACTATAGATTTCAGAACCAAGAGTAATTCAATTTCAAACAAATACTCCATATCATAATGTAGATTCTGGAGAGATAATTCAAAAGAAAAGGAAAAATACATGAGAACTATTCATATGGATAAATATAAAAGTTTGGAATTAAATAAAAAGAGCCATAATGAAATCTGTTTTCTTATAAAATGCATGAGGGTTAGAATCCAATGTTTTGCTTGACATTCAATCTTGAGTATCTGGCACATACTTAATTCATGGTTCCTGAATAATGGACAAATGAATGACTGTCCAGGACTTACTTTTTAAAAGACCCATACAAGTTCCTGCTTAGGCTAAGTTCTTTTTCTCCTTTTATTTCAGGTATTTTTTTTTTTTTAATTTCAAAATATTAAGGGTTGGCCAGATGAAGTGGCTTATACCTATAATCCGAGCACTCTAGGATGCTGGGGCAGGAGGATCCCTTGGGTATAGGAGTTCCAAACCAGCCTGAGCAAGAGTGAGACCCTGACTCTATTAAAAAAAGTAGAAAAAAAAAAAAAAGCTGGGTGTCATGGCACCTGCCTGGAGTCCTAGTGTAGCCTAGCGTAGACTGAAGCTGAACCCAGGAATTTGAGGTTGCTGTGAGCTAGGTAAATGCCACAGCACTCTAGCCTGTCTTACTACTACTACTACTACCAATAATAGCAAATGGACCGAATGGCTCCCCTCAGTGCTGCTTCTCAATGGGAATGTGGTAGCACAGAAAGGTGGGGTGTTATTTTGGTAAGGAGGTCACTTGAGAAAACTTGTGGGCACTCCCATTTCAGAACCAGACATCTGCCCAGTAGAAGATTAAAAGGTGGGGATTTAAAGAGTCTCTGGTAAGAGATTAGCATCCTAAGGTTTTTTCCTATTTGTTGCAGAACAAGAAGGCTGCCTTGCTCTGGAACGGAGATGTTCCTTTCCAGTCCTCCGACAGCTGCTGCAATGCCAGCCCGTCTGACTGTTGTGTGAGTTAGAAATGTTTCTGTCACATGAGTAACTTTTCTAAATACCAAGTACGGAGAAAAAAATGAACACCCAGACTGCAAATGACAACGAAAAGATTATCTGTAAAACAGCAAAACTCCACCTGTTTTCAGATGTTTCCTCTGTAACATGAAAGGCCAAAAGACAACAGAACAGGATTACAGCCGTTTTCAGAGGAAAGATTGAGGGTGAAGGGGTTCCTCTCACAGAGTTCTATGAAGTAAGGCAGGAGAAAGACAACTGCAGGCAGGCAGGAGCTCACGGTAGGTACAACATCCCTTCCCTCTCGTGGAAGTAACTCACTTGAAGAAACCACGAACCCAAGACCAGGCAAATCCAGCACCAAAGGATGAACTTGCTTGAGGACCTCATCCTCATCTCATTACAGGAATGTGGAGGGCACCACACCTAAATGAACTTGTCACACTAATGATGCTATAAGACTTACAAGGAGGTGCTATTTGTTTCTCTAACGGCATCTGGATGAAACTTGAAAGCAAACAATTTTATAATGAATCATTATCATTCATTATGGGAATAAGCCTATCATTCAGCATAAGAATTTCCTCTTCCTCAGGCAGTTTTACCCCGAGATTTATAAGTTTAATTAAATGCAAATGTATTAAAAATAAACTAACATTTAGGTAGTCTTATAAAAAATTATTACTAACTATGCCAAAATTGGATTCTTTCAGTTTGCACAAAGGGATGCCTTTAATCCTTTTTAATTTTTGTCATGTTTTCCAGATCTTTACTGAGCACTCCCCTTGTAAATGAATGAATGAAACTGAGGACCACGAGAAATGTTTCCTTGGGTTTGGCCAGATGCTCTCTCACTAAGGTCTCTGAAGTCCAAGTTCATTCTGAGATTGAAGGTCCAACTTGATAATCAACTGCCTATGTCACTGCCACCGACCAACTCATACACAAAATTGACCGATTTCCTATTCTCAGGTCCTATGCTTCCTGCACTGGCTGTCAAACTATGAACCCAGGACCCAGGGACACACAACTGGATCTCTAGGCCAGAGTTTGCCAGGGGTTCAAAAACAAACCTTTTACAGGCAGACAAAAGTTTTAACAACAAACTCTCAGAATCCAAGTAGGAAGCAGAAGGAGGAAGAATAGGATACAGGAGAGACAAAGGCAGGGTGATAATTTGGGGCACAGTGGCAGAAAAGGGACCCTGTGTTCATTGAGCATTTATGCTATGCCAAGCTCCTTACTAGGAATCTTCACCTATATGAGTAATTTTATCTAAACAGTATTTCTCTTTTCCAACAAAGACTAAGGAAGCCCCATGGGCATGCCACCAGTGTGTTAGGCATGAGGAGGAATAAGCTGAATAAAACTCAAACTTTACTCATGTGAAGCTGCAAGCAAGGTCAGTGCTCATGGCTGGACAGGTTAAATACTGGTGGACCCCCAAGTAGCGGTGGTTCTCAAGGACGTGGTTCCCAAACCAGTAGCATCAGTGTTACCTAGAAATTTGTCAGAAACACAAATTCTCTGACCCCGACCCAGATCTACTGAATCAGAATCCAGGAGTGGGGTCTAGCCCATCCGACCATTAATAAGTCCTCCAGGG